CCTTTGACCCCATGACAAGACAGATCAAACCTCTGACCCAGAAAGAGCCAGTGCGGGCCGACAGCCCTGTGCACACGGAGCAGCCCAGGACAGAGCTGGACAAGCCCGAGGCCAAGGCCAGCCTCCAGAGCCCCTTTGAGCAGACGAACTGGAAGGAGCTGTCGCGCAACGAGATCATCCAGTCCTACCTGAGCCGGCAGAGCAGCCTGCTCTCGTCGTCGGGCGCGCAGACCCCGGGGGCTCACCACTTCATGTCTGAGTACCTGAAGCAGGAGGAGAGCACTCGGCGAGGGGCCCGGAAGCCGCACGTGCTGGTGCCTCACGGTCCGCCCGCTGACCTCCCAGGGCTGAGCCGTGAGGTCACACAGGATGATCTGGACAGAATCCAGGCCCACCAGTGGCCAGGGGTGAACGGGTGTCAGGACACACAGGGTAACTGGTATGACTGGACACAGTGCATATCGCTCGACCCGCACGGCGACGACGGGCGGTTGAACATTCTGCCTTATGTCTGCTTGGACTGACCGGCCTGTCGGTCTCTAAGTGCATTCCCACCTCACAGTCAGCCGTGGAGGGCGGGCAGGCGGGCGGGTGGGCGGCCGGCCGGCTAGGGCCCAGCCGCCTCCAGTGGTTGGGAATCCAGGGAGTCCGGCCCGGGGCAGGAGGGAGGGGGCGAGAGTCTCTAGGTCTCTCCGTGCTCTTCCCTCAAAATTCTCCTTCTTTTGTGAAATGCTGCTACCAGTTTACTAACAAAATTGCAAAGGAAGGACCGCGTGAAGGAAGGCCAGCAAAGTGAGTTCAGAACTCTATAGCAAACCAGCTATAAAAAGTGAGAGTCCCCCACCCCTGAAGAGGTGCGGACATTTCCCAGCCCCCGTGAGCTGGGACCTCAGTTGCAGGCAGGCACAGAAAACCTGTGGGAGAGGTTACCTTTAACACAGCAGCAGAAGCACGCATCTCATCTCTTTGCATTTTCTGTTTTTTAACATGGCCCTGAGTGTTTGAGGCAGTGGGCACAGAGGTTTGCACCCCTCCTGGCCAGCTTTTCCATCACGGTGCCAGAAGCTTCTTAGCTGTAGTGAACTGCTGGCATCAGGCAGGCCAACTGGCCAGCCCGTTTGACCCACACTTCATGGGCATCCACACATTTGTATCTGGTTTCAGTTAAAACCCAGTTTTTGAAGAAATGCTGCAAAAATTTAAGTTTTCTAGAGTTTATTTTACCCTCCTCTTTCATCTGACTACCAGATGAGTAAGTTTCCTTTGTTTTCCCCTCTTCATTTTCCCCTTCCTGCAGATATCTAGAAAAGTTCACCTTTCTAGAGTCCCCTCCCAAAAAAAAACACAAAAGTAACTGCGGGTGCTACTGGTGTGTAAGCTGTACTGTTGGGCGAGAGGAGACCTGTCTGTACGCTGGAAACACTCATAACCATTCCTTTAGATTCGTTTGCCTTATGGTTATTTGTCATAAACGCGATTTGCAAAAACAAGGAGCCTTAGTGAATGTACAGTACCTAGACTTCTGTGTTCTCAGGACGCAGAAGGGAGCAACTTTGCTATTTGGTCCAGTAAGTGGACACCTTGTGATATAAATGTGGAAATAAAAAAAAAACCATTTGCACAAACCAGTCTGAGAATTGTTTTTAATTTGGTCCTCTACAGCCAAATCAGCCCCTTTGGATTTTGGATTAGCCAAGAAGACCTGGACCCCCTGCCCAATGTTTGGGCCCCATAGCTAGCCAGACCGTGGGGAAGTGGGCAGGGCAAAGTCACCAAGTCAGTCTATTAGCCTTCTGCGTTTAAGTTCACCTCCACCTTGCCTTTCATTCATTCAGGACACAATGCCTCCCACCTCTGGGGTCACCTGCTAGCTTTGGGTGACAGAGACCAAGGGGCCACGTCAAGGAATGTTATCCTGTATCCACCCAGACTTCACCTTCCCCAGAAAGAGAAGCCCTCCCAAGCAGGCTCAGTGACCCATGTCTCAGCGACCTTGTCATACCTCCTAATATATTTTTAGTTACTACATGGCATAACTTGGCAACCCGCCCCTTAGCCCCGGCCGCAGGCTGTCAGCTCCCCATGCAGGCCTGGGGCTGTCTTAGTATCTAGCTGGGGCTGACTTAAAAAAAAAACAAAAACTCCCTTGACTGTAATGTTATCATCTTTTCACTCTTCTCCCTCGTCCCTGAAACCATAAGCTAAGACTTTGGCTTTCTAGTGTTTTCACTCTGGAATAGGTCATCTTGTCCATGTCTGCTTAATTTCACAGATTGAAGAAGCAACTACCCCTTCAGAGGGGCAACCCCACAGGGCAAACCAAGGGATCCAGGAACATTCAGTCAACCCAGAATCACAGTTTCAAAGCCAGTGGGG